AGACGATAAATTTTGTCGGGGAACAAACAAATAAAAAAAAATATTTACATGTAATATTCGTTTAGCCACCATACTTTTCATCTCAACAACAATAACAATAACAATAATAATAATAATAATAATAATAATAATTCAAAGAGACTAAAGATAATTTGCGTTCTGTTATGACAAATGCTCATTTTGATAGCCTCATCATGGTTGGAATATACATCGTGGTAGGTGAAGCAACATCGACCATGACAGCGTGGTTGACAGATTTCATGCAAAATTTCCAAAATATAGAATTTCACTTTCAAGATATAGGGATTTGAAAATAAATCAGATGGTTACATTGCATACGCCTTGTTTCTTGCTTTATTCAAAATGTTTTGGTTTTCAAAGCTGATTTCAACATTAGAAAGCATAGCCTACATGAATTCATATTATAGTAACTCGATGCCTATCAAATAAGTAATAAAAATTCGCCATAATTGATCAAATATCCGTGGCTTCCAGGGGGCGAAGCCCCATGTCTCCCACTGGGAGCCCTAGGCAGCCCCCGGCCCCCAGCCAAATGAGACTCGATTCGCTCCACTAGCCCCCTCCCGTCGGGGCCTTTAGCCCCTCCGTCGGGCAGGTCCTGGTGCCACCACTGGACTGGTCTAAGTTTACACAGAATATTTAAAATGTACAGGACTTCGTAGCAAACAACAACAAATTCTAAACTATTCTATATTTTTACTGTATAGACGAACCTTTCTCCATTGTGCTATTATTTACCCATAGCCTCCGTTCCCACAACCGATGCAAAATCAAGAAGTACTCCGCATGGGCGACGATCATTCGTTTAACCATGTGCTTGTTGCGCAGATGGATTATGCTTTGGGCTGATTGGCTATGGACGCTCCAAAGTTTTAGCATTGTGAACCAGCCGCCGCACTGCTGCCAGCCTTTGATCGTGAGTCCGCAATACACGAACGAACGTATAAGACGTGATTCAAATAGATAAATTACGAACGCATAAGAAGGGTATGATTTAAATAAATAAAACAACAAACACATTAGACGGACATGAACGAATTTATGAATGATATGACGGACAAGATTTAAAAAAAAAGAAATAACGAAAACATAAGACAGACATGAAAAAATTCATGAAGGAACGAACGTGTAAGACGGACATGATTCAAACAATAAAACAAAGCCAACATAAGACTGACATTTCTCAAACAAATAACAAACGTCTAGTTCATGGAAACTGGGTTGAAGGTCAAATGATGATATTTGCGTGTGTAAACAAAGCCAGCAGTGCGTGTCCATAGCTAGGCCTACTTAATTGGTGTAGCGCAGTACTGTTGGTATTTTGGGGCAAAAATCATTGATAAAAAGAGACTATTAACAAAAAATGTAGTTAGTAATAAGGATATTCCCAAGCATACAAGTATTAGAAACCCCATTCTAAAAATGACAACAAATCAAATTTATTGTTTGTTACTAAAGCGTACTGCGAAGCCTCCTGTTCAAACCCAACGGAAATGGGAAATTTTGTTGAAGACTGAAAACAATTGGATACACACCTGGCGCATTAAACTAAAAAATAAGAAGGATAATGTAATTAGGCAATTGAACTATAAGTTGCTTCATATGATTGTACCTACACGAAAATTTTTGTTAAGGATGAGCGGTGTATTGAATGCAATGTACTGGATGATGAATTACATTATTTTTTTGAATGTAAAGACGCAAGAGTAATGTGGAATTTTATTAATTATAGTTCCAAATTAGAAACACCACTGTCCTTTCATAACATTGTACTAGGTACAGGCAACAGATTCTTAGATAATATCTGTAGTCTTGGGGCATTTTGTATATACAAGGCTCGAACGTTAAAGCACATTGGTAAATGGAAGCTTAATTCCATTGCGACCTTATTTTCTATAGAGTATTATAACAAAAAGTTATTAAATAAAATTTAAAAAAAAAAAAAAAATAAATAAAAAAAAAAATTAAAATGGCATTATGGAGTTATGTGTATATAGATAACCTGTTTGTTTATAGGTCCAATATGCTTATTGTGTAAGTTTGGGTATTGCAAATATAGGTAGGTGTATGTGAATATTAACGTGAGTGCGGATGTATGTAGGTATGTCGACATATGCCTAGGATTTCTGATCAATATTTGATTAATGTAAGCTACTTGTCATCCTGTGGCATGTATGCGAGTACAATGTATATGTATGTATGTACAGTATACTACTTATATTAAAAAAGGTTAGTAGAATATAATCAGAAAAATATACATATAAAAGGAACACGTTGAAAACATATATTTAAATGTCGTACTTTACTATGAAAATAACTATAAAGAAATAATAGTTAGCCATCAAGATGGACTAACCCGTTTTAAAGAAAAATTATTTTTATCTCTGTAAATACTCATATTGGATATTTCACGGTACCACATAAAACCTTGTAATTGTAAATTATGTAGTGATGAAATGTGAGAAGTAATAAAAGTGGGATAACCCCACAAAAGACAAAAAAAAAATATTTAGTTAAAATACAAGTCTAAATTATTGAGAAGGTTAACAAAAACACACCACACACTCGTATTATTTCACAATTAGAGGCTCAATCGAGTCCAGTATTCAGAGCCTAGAATGGATTCCCCTACGCCGGCGAGCGGGGAATAAATAGCAGACGAACGTTCATCGTAGAAAACCGTTTACGGTAAATCGTCAACTATTTTCAGATTATCTTTTCGATATTTTTTTACTACAATTACTAATATTTGTAAACAAGTTTTTAAAAAAATGTCGTTTTTTAATATATTAACGTAATTAATAAATTTCCAACCGACATAAATACAGCGGTTTTGTCACTCACGACTGTAACCGCGGTGCTAGGCCAAAGACCTCTAGTTCATGGAAACTGGGTTGAAGGTCAAATGATGATATTTGCGTGTGTAAACAAAGCCAGCAGTGCGTGTCCATAGCTAGGCCTACTTAATTGGTGTAGCGCAGTACTGTTGGTATTTTGGGGCAAAAATCATTAATAAAAAGAGACACTCAATCATCAATTATGTCAGTTCAGTAATTTTATTGAACATATAACACAATTAGTATAATTAATATTTTTTCATTAGGCCTTCTCAATGATAATAATTGACATAGGCCTATATATAATATAGGCCTATACACTGTATTAGCTTACAGTATATGTATTATTTTTATTCAGGTATAAATACACAAAATATACAAAGGCTGAGATGAATTTATTTTATGTAAATTATTAAAATATTATAAACAAAATTGCAAGTATTAAAATACAGTATATCAATTAAAAAATACAAAACTTAATACAATAAATACAGTATGTATAAAATATTAATTTATAAATTTTTTTTTATAGATGGAATACCACACAACAGCTGTTGCAGGCATATGCTGCGCTTGTGGGAAAAAATTTCGATCTACAGCTCGTGTGGAAAAGGATAAAAAATGGGCTTCACGCGTGGATCTTAAATTAGCTACAACTTCATTTAACTACAATCACGAAATTTTTCCTAGCTTCATTTGCAGGAATTGCAACCTTCAGAGCTAGAAGGATGGATGCAAACTGATCTTTAACTTTCGTAATCATTCTATTAGCAGCTGCATTACATGTTTTATGTACAGACAACAATAGCAAGCCTATACTAGAATCAAATACAAGAACGCTATAGAAGTAACGCCAAAACCCAATTTGGCATGTGACCATCAGCATCGTAACTTTAAATTACTAGCAATGAACAGTATTTTTCATGTTCTATCTGTGACAATGTTTTATGTCCAAATTACTTAGTTAGTACATGTGGACACAGCTTTTGTTACGATTGTGTGAACTCCGTATTTTGTACTATTTTACGGAAGCAAATTCCATGTTTTGTTTGTAATTATTTGTTGAATTTTAATAATTTCAACTTGCCACAAACTTTAGCAAAAGAGGCACTTTTTGCAGCTGAAGTGTCGTGTAATAATTGCGAATTAAAAATTAAATATTCAGAAACATCTAGGCATACATGCATTCCGAACGCGCAAGAATTTCAGCAAACAACAGAACTTTTATCTATGTCAAAAAAATTATTATATGCTGTTGAGACAACCACTCAAATTCACAAGTCAATTCAACAACTATCTGATAAAGTACTTCTCAAAAACCTGAAAGAAAATGATGGCCAGCACAAACTCCAAACATTTGGAAGGGTATGTATTATCCAATAAAACCCTACAGTCACTCTTGTTATGAATTCATGTTTGCTCATTAGTTGGTGTAGGAACAATGTCACTCTGCACTGTCATTGCATGCGATTGTTTGAATACTTATTTTCAAAAATATTGCTTGTTTCATATTTCAGCCCAGAAAGGTTACTCTTATAACCAACACCACACATAAGAGTTCAGAAGTCTCCAAGAAAACACTAATGAAGCGAAACCGCGAGGTTGAAGATCTTGCCCGTCAAGTCAATAATGATGATGGTAAACAAAATATAATCAATCAGCTTCGGAATGCTTCATCTGAACATCTGATTGCAGCTGGTATAGAGAGTTCTCAAATGACGGTTGATAAGGCCCTTGCCTTGATAACAGACTGTAATGTCACATGGGAACAGCTGAGAAAAATAAAACGGTATGAATAAATAATACAAACCAATCAAATAAATAAAATTGTCAATCATTTAAATTTGGTGAGAATAACGTTTAATAAGTGTTTAGTAAGACGAATTGTAAGAGATAAAATTAAGTTTATAGAAAAAAAAACTATTTAAAATTTATTCTGTATATTTACAGCTATTCAGCTTGTCGTGGTATCCCATCAGAAAGAAAGATTCGGCAGAGACAAAGAGAACTAATTGATGGCAAATTTGTAGCCACGACTATGCAGTTAATGCAACGCTCATCGAGGTATGACGAATTCCGTCTTGTACAGTGTGCTGTGGTGTGGATGACAGACGTTCACAGAACTGTCACCTGTCACTTAGAACAACATTTAATGTAAGTGTATTTACAAATCATTGTGATACCTTTCTAATGGTCATCTACTTCAGGATGTATAGGTTGACATCAATACAAATTTAATTTTAATGCGTTAATCTGTTTCGGTTGTTTTTTCAGCTTGGTTTGCTTAGGTTACACTCTAGGATGGATTGTATTTTCTGTTTTTCTGTTAAGCGCATAGAGACCCGTGTATTATGTGCTATATAAGTCCCCAACCATTACCATTACTTCTGTAAATAAAAAAAATTGAATACTGTATAATTATGATTTAATTTTGCAGGCTGAATAATCTTGTGCCACACAATGGAGAAATATGGCTGAAATTTGGGGGGATCAGGGGGGGTGGGTCAACTAAATTTGAAATACAAATTGTCAACATAAAAAATCCAAATGCAACCAGAAACGTTGTAGTCGTTCTCCTGTTTGAGGCGCCAGATTGCATGTTCAACATAGAGGCAACCTTGCCAAATATATCGCATGCAATTGCAAAAATGGATGGGACCAAATGGAGGTAAATAATGCATTGAAAAAGATATTTTTACAATTTTGTGTTAGTAAAAGATTTACACTCTGTAAATTATACAATTTTATACTCTCTTTTTAAATTTAAGTCAATAAATTTCATTTAGCAATCTAATTGAATAGCTGATTGTTTTATGTTATTAATACACAGGGACTATACTCTAAGGCTGTTTGGTTTCGGCGACTATGTCTACCTTACAAAGCTCTATGGGCTTCTTGGACCTAATGGTAAGCACTTTAGGGGTTGATATACAGTACGGTACAGTACTTATTATTTAGTAAGGATTGTCGTATTCATGAATGAATGAATGGGCTGCTATCCACAGCATTTATTGGGTCTAATATAAAATATATCAGAAAATTGTCTTTAGTACACTACAATTAATATAGACAACATATAGAATATCAAAACATCAAAGAACATCAAAACGGACAATATCAAAAAACATGCAAAATAGAAAAATATCAAATTCAAATACAATGTACAAAAGGGAAAGTTTAAAGTTCATAATATCAAGAAGAATTATATTAGAAAGATTAAAATTATTATTAGAATTACATTTAAAAAAATCCATACTGTATATAGAAGTTGAAAAATGGTATTGGCTGTTTAATAAAATTTATTGTACATTCTTCCAAAAGGACGTTATCCGTGCCTTTATTGCACACAAACTGCGAAGGAAATCAAAGATGGACAAACACCAACAGAACACCGGACATTAAAGCAAATAAACAATGATTATGCAAAATTTATAGAAGATGGAAGAAAGGAAATGGCAAAAGAAGTATCAAGATGTGTCATAAAGAAGCCCTTAGTAGACACTGAAATTGATCATGTAAGCATTCTGTGTCTAAAATTCGGCATACAATTCATATTTTTAAGGGTTAGTTATAATTATAATGTATTTTACATTTCTTTTTAGGTTTCTGTTCCGTCTCTTCATGTATCTTTGGGGATTTTCAAGAAGCTATATGAGAAGCTGGAAACAGATGCCCATGAAATCGACATGATTGTATACAATTCTCAAGTAAATATTGCAAAAAAAAATGATGATGATGATGATGACGATGATGAATTAGATGATTTCAGTGAGCGAATAAAGATTCAAGTAAAAGAAAAATCAGGTAACTAAGTACAGTAGATATGTATTTACCTTCAATCATTCTGCAGTTGGACACTGTGACGACTCCACTGGGTTCGACCTTGTATCCATTTTTTCAAATTATCTGTAATTAGTAAGATATTTAGTTACGGCTGTAATAATATGTTATAATTTACAGATTTGAAGCAAAAGATAAAGAAACTGATAGAAGAAATTGAAGAAATTGAAGATGGCCTTCCTTTAAGCTTCTACCAAGGGGATGACAAAAAATCTATTGAGAAAGAAATCAAAAAGATAATAAAGGCAAAGGAAGAAATGTCTAAAATTGTATGTACTATTAAGAAATTGTATGTACTATTAAGAAATTGTATGTATTGACAAAATAACCATATGAAAACCTATTTTAATTTGATTAAACACTTTTTTGTGAAACTATGCAGTCTGTTATAATATACTGATTGAAACAGTATATTAACAACTAATTATAACAGACTGCATAGTTTCACAAAAAAAGTGTTTAATCAAATTAAAATAGGAAAACCTATTTTAATTTGATTTAATGAGTTGTTAATATACTGTTTCAATCAATACATTTATATTTTTCAATAGGACAAACTTCTAGATAATGACTTGCCATTTGGCACTGGATGAATTTCTGCAACGTAACAAAATTCAACGGCAACAATATCATGGAAAGGATTTCAATGGCAACCATGTGCATAAAGCACTACAGGTACAGTTGTTTTTATTTAATTGTATTGTATAATAAATTGTAATTATAAACAAGTAATAATTACCATTATCAATTAATAAATATTTTTATTATTAATTTCATTAGGTTCCAGTAATACATGATTTATTCAAAGTTCCAAAAGAAGTTGTAAAAAGCAAAATAGAAGATAAGATTGGCATTGGAAAAATGAGGCTAGTAGCCACAAAATTAAAGCAGCTTGAAGAAATCAAAGACCTATTTTTGCTATATGGAGAAGTTCACAATAGCATGAACCATTGCAACTTCATGAATGATGCAGAAATTTATCATCTTGGTAAGTATATTCATTAAAACCTTATATAATTATGGTTTAAACCTTGATATACAGTTTAATATGGATTACAATTTGTCTTTTTATTTACAGAAACATACATTAAGAAATTTATGGTTTCATACAGAACAACTGGGATGTCAGTGACGCCAAAATTACATATGCTTGAGCAGCATGTGATAGAACAAGTGAAAAAATGGCACTTTGGGCTTGGCCTACTTGGAGAACAGGGCGGAGAAGCACTTCATGCTGTGTTCAACAAACGAAGACGGTTTGTTAGTGGAATGCCTGACAAAGCCAAACAGAATTTGTCCATAATGAGGGCACACTTCACAACAACGATACCCGTTATACAAAATGAGGTTGAGCAGCCAAAGCGGAGAAAACGCGGTAAGAATACCAGTTAACAGAGTACTGTACAATTAATTTATATTTTTTAGCATGTTATAGTACTGTAATCATATTTAATAAGCAAATAAATTAAAATACAATTTTTTACACTGTACCTTTGTTTTTTTACAGCAATCGCTGAAGAATAAACCAAGTGTCCAATGCTACAGTGTCAGTCACCAATGAAGTGAACCTGAAACAATTTGAATGTTGATTGATATATTTGTTGATATAAATCGTATATGCTATTTTAGCAAACAGTGATGGCATTTTGTGTGTTAACATTGTGATACAGTATTCTCCCAATTGACAAATTTTTACTGGTAAATTTGTCCGTAAAAATTCAGCAATGCACACAGTTTGAGGTGTTACCCCTTTTGAGTGACTTTCTTAAAATACCTTTTTTGATAATGACTTGAAGAGCACCACATATATTCATAGCCTACTGTTGGCATAGATTGGAATGATGTTAATTCATTGAAAGAGGGCCAGTATCGACTACCTAGGCCTATCAGTATTTTTTTCTAAATTTTACAAAACTCTAAATTTTTACTAGTTGGCCTGTTATTTTACTGGAAAAAATTGATGGCTAAAACGGCTTCGGGAGAACACTGTGATACATTTTTTTAACTGGTTGGGTAACTTTAAATTTTAGCATAGTGCATATTGACAGTTTTCATTGGTTAATGCAGGGCCGCAATGACTCTACACCCGATCAACCTAATATAATGTGTACATTATTATTATGCCTACCAAGTGTTTCTAATTCAATGTTGTTGTCACCTGATGTTTGGTTCAACGACTGTCCAATCGCTGGCACTACAGATTTTGAATGTTGATGATTGTACAAAACTGAAATAAACAGATAAATGTGTTAACGTTATAAGGTGTCGGATTTTTTTTTTACAACTACCTAACTAACAAGAGCAATTTGTAGTGTTAGAACAAATAATGGCACATGTTTATTTATTAGATTTATCACATTAACCTACATCAAAAACTTGGAAAATTGGCCTAGGCCTTGATGCGGATTTTTTTTTTTTTGCCCTATAAATAATTACGCCAACTTCTTTAAAAAAAAAATGCAATTTTATGACTTTTTTTTAAATAACAATGAAATTGAACCATTTTTTTTTTACAATATTTACAAATAAATATTATTGCTAAATAAAAAACTTAATTTTTTTTTCATGTGCCTTAATCCCTAACCTATGTATATTCAGTCTTTAACACTAACCTCTCCCCCCAGTCTATACATGTCAATGGCCTAGAGCCTAGGCTAGGCCTAGCCTATGGCCTAGGCTACATAGATTACAGAAATTATATCACTAGGCATAGGCCTATGCCTACCTAATTCAAAGTTTGTCTACATTGGTAGGTAGGGTAAGTGTCAGTCTCCAACATTATACCGTATGGTCGTGAATGTTGTACACAAGACCATAGCCCACGTGTACTACTAACCTGCTGGTGCTGCACACCTTTTTTACACGGTACAAAAAAACGACATCACAATTTTATATAATTATTCAAGTGTTATATTAGACAAACCTACATGCCTTAGTCAAAAAATAGTTGACGATTTCGAAATTCATGCTTTTCAAGTTTACAATAAAATTGGCGGCAAAAAATATATTTAAAAAATTGCAAAATTCCACCTACCTTCTCATATTATTTTCTACGCTTTTCAAAATGGAAAGACAAGCATGGTTAGGCTATTGTGAAGTTTAAAGTCCCCGGATGATGACATCATCGAAACTTTGTTTTTTTTTTTTTTCGAAATCTAAGCCTTGTGATTGGGCAGTATTGTTTACAAAACAAAGCACCAACTTACTTCCGGGTCTGTAAACAGCGCCCGCTATAACAGCTGGAATACGATTTGTACGCAAACTGAAAACTGAGGGCGTGCTACTTATTTTCTATAAATTGCACTGCATGAAAAAGTGGTGGGCTTGGTATCCGAGTTCTTCAAACATTACATCTAATTTAGCCGAGTCATCGTCATCATGATGGTTTCTTTGATGAGGATCGGAGTCGTTGTTCGGCTCTTCTCCCAGAAGTTGTCGCCAGCTACGACTTAGGTTTTCTTCCGTTGCATCTTCCCATGCTTGGAAAATCCAACCAACGCAATCCTTGATTGTCAGCTGCTTGATGACATTTGGAATGTCGTCATCGTTCACCAGGATGTGTCGTAGGAGATGCTTTTGTAGTGTCGTTTCAGGGTTTCCAAGATCCCCTGGTCCATAGGCTGAATCACGCTAGTGGTGTTTGGGGGAAGATACTCAACCCAGACGTTCTCATCCTCAGAAACGAGTTCTGCTTTTGGGGGGTGTGACGGAGCATTATCCAAAAGAAGTAGAATTTTGTATGGAATGTCGTGTTCATGGCACCACCGCCGGACAGTTGGAACAAAGTCACTGTGGAACCATTTTTTGAAAACGGTAGCATCCATCCATGCCGAATGTTGACTATAATATGTAACCGGCAAGCGAGACATGTCTTCATTTTTATAGCATCTTGGTCGCTTCGATTTGTGGATGAATAAAGAGAGGCAATTTGCACGTCCCTGAGGCATTGGCACAGCCCATGATTGTTACCCTGTCCTTTGATTTTTTTCGCATTTTTTGGCATTTTTTTCGTTTCGTAAAACCAACGAACGATTAGGGATTAGCCGCCACCAAAGACCTGTCTCATCGGCGTTAAAAATTTGATATCTGTTCAACTGATTTTCCTCAATGATGCCTTCAAATTTGGTTTTGAACTGGTCAATCGAGTTAAAATCAGCTGATAGTGATTCCCCTTGAAGTGTCGTTCATCGAATTCCATGTCGCGCTTTGAACTTATCTAACCATCCACCACTAGCCAGAAAGTTTTAGCCAGGGTAAAATTGTTCGCATTATTCAATAGATGCTTCATCTCAACTGCATTATTGAATGGATGCTTCAGGTAACAAACAAGTGCATTATTCAATGTATGCTTCATCTAACCAACAACTTCATTATTCAATAGATGCTTCATCAAATGCATTATTCAATGTATGCTTCATCTAACCAACAATTGCATTATTCAATGTATGCTTCATCTAACCAACAACTTCATTATTCAATGGATGCATCAGGAAAGCAACAACTGCATTATTCAATGGATGCTTCATCTAACCAATAATTGCATTATTCAATGGATACTTTAACAGACCTACCAAGTCTCACGCCTACGGCGTGAGAATCACGCCCCAGTGCCTCTTCTCATGCTCACCCGCCCATCAGTCATTTTCTCAACGCCTGTCGTCGATGAGGCCAAAAAAAACCCCAAAAAACGGGGAACTGTCTCTTATAAAAGAATTATACAAGTAAAATTGTATTATCATTTATGGGTATGCACCAAACTGCACAATTTAAAACCCCAAAATGAAAATTTTTTCTATTGTAGGCGGGCCAAAACCATCACAGCACCACTCGCACCCCCCCCCCCCCCCCCCCCCCCACCCCCCCGCCTCCACGGTTTGCTCCCTCAATTGATTGTTCTCACTCTCAGCTACTTGACAAACTTGACATCTCTGCTTCAAATAACCAAGAACCGCATTTTCAATGGATGCTTCAAATAACCAACAATTGCATTATTCAATGGATGCTTCAAATAACCATAGAGAAAATAGAACAGAAGGAGTAACATCGAGCGAAGATCAAAGGTATATACCTCCTCGCCGCGATCGTAATTATCTCATCGTTACGTAACGTACTTGACAACCAGATAAGCTGAAATCGGCAAACGCGCATGCGTCGATAGCTCTTACAATCATAAGCCTACACGATCTTCTTGATCTTTGATATTTAGTTAAAAAGGCCTAGCTGTGTTAGTTTTAGTGAATACTAGGCCTTAGCTTACCACTGGTACCTGTCGTGATGGCCAGTACAACAACACAATTAAGGCCCTATGCAATATTAACATTCTCTAATTCATTAATAATAAAAGTTAGTAGGTCCTAGTGTAGAGCCTACCATAGGCCAACACTACTTGCTAATAGACTAGGGCCTGTAATTATGCAGCCTAGTCAGGGGCGGATTTGGGGGGGGGGGCGGTCGCCCAGTTCCCCTTTCGGGAGGGAAAAAAGAAAGAAAAAGAAAAAAAATGATAGCCCACAACGCCTCAAATGTTATTTTTGGGCGTCTAGAACACAAACATCGGGGGCATGCCCCCGGACCCCCTAGGACATTGTTGTGTCGATCGGCCCAAATTTGGCCCCCCCTTTTTGGACAACTCTGGATCCGCCCCTGCTAGTAGCTAGGCCTAGGTTATGATAATTTGTGTGTCAATACTAAATTTAATATTTATGCATTTTCATTTTTATTATATTCTTTACTGATTAACTATATATAAAAATTAATATATTATGATAATTCTCCACCACCCATATTTCATCAAAAACTATGATATACTGTAAATGATAAATTTTCACAGGGATGTACTTTTATTTTTCAGGTGTTAGACCGGCAAGTAAATTTTTGGAAGACGATGCTATTATTGGAGGGGGAAGGGCTATTGCATCAACATTGACCGTCACATAATGCAAAGCGTGTTATTGTATTGGCAAAAGACCTGGAGACGCAATTTTTAATGCTTTAAAGCAACTACTGTATAGTTGTAAAAGGAAGGAACTGTCATAAATTGTTGGATGGGCTTTATGTAAATAGTAGAAATTTAATTTGGTAATAAATACACAGGTGAGACTTAACGGTACAGTAAGTGTAATATTTGTTTGTTGATTAAAATGTATCATGCACAGATGAAATTTTATTGAAGTGATGAATGTACATAATTTTGATCAGATAGTGAGTATGATGAATGGTGAGTTAATACTGTTAGGGTAATTGTTTTACTTAATAATAATGACAAGCAAAGAAGACAACTTCAAATCTCATTTGTAATTTGGTGGTTCTAAAAAGAACCGTTTGATTTGGAAAAAATTGGCATGCCACACATGATCTGGTTTTCTTCTTTCTTCGAAGATGCAATTCGTCAATGGTGTTTCTTGCCATCATCATCAGGAAATTCTCAGGAAGACCTCAGATGGAGTGTTGTTCATGATTCTATAAAATGAAGTAAAAAGCATTTCCAACATGAAAAACTGTTGCAAAATCAATAAATAAAAATGTGTGCCTGTCGATATGGACAAGACTAGGCTACAGTATCTATGGCTTATGGCTAAAGGCTAAATAAATAATAATTACTGTATAATAATCGGTCGGCCCCTAGCATGGAGAAAATGATTTTTAAATGAAAATGATAGGTAGGACCATGGGCAGGACTCCGCAGACAGCTAGCCTAGGCCTATAAAGCCTAGGCCTACAACAAAATTATTTTCGTTATTTAAAATTAATAAAAACAAAAGAATACGTGGCCAAAGTAAGTAAAAAAGTGAATAGTGTTTTTTAAATTTTTTCGTTTTTAAGGGCCAAACTTGACAATCGTAAGTAAAGTAAAGACCTGGACGTAAACTACAAATGAGACTAAGCGTAGTCCTAGGCTTACACATGAGCGCGCTACAAAGGCCGAACGAACAGATTTGGGGCCACATTATGATCTTAATATCTTGACCGGACATGACCGGACACGGTTAATTCGTGTACCGAATGAAAGATACAGCTTTCTACTTTCGTCTGAATTAAATTTTATTAACCTGCGACAACCGATACCCTTTACAAACACTATTTATTGACATCACTTTCGTTCTTACAATAAAAATAAGCCAATACTTACAACTGATAAAAGAAACAGCTTAAATCGGCTTAAAAATTTTAAGCCGATTTTGACGTTTAAAGTATGTATGTTCTCGCCGAAAAAAAAACTCTATCTAAATACACCAAACGCGCAAACAAACAAACCGTGGATAATGAACTGCGCATGTGTTTTTTAATTCTAATGTTTAAATGTTTGTGTATTAAGTACTCCACTAACGCCAGAACGTCTATAGGGGTTTACACTTAAGCGGCGAGGAGCTCTGTGTATAAAGAGATAGTGCTGTGATAAGCTCCGCGGGCGGCCGTAGTGCAATTTAATAGGCGCTGGCTGACTGTTTAATTGGATTAAAGATAAGCGATAAAGTCGATGTTACTCCTTCTGTTCTATTTTCTCTATGAAATAACCAACAACTGCATTTTCAATGGATGCTTCATCAGGTAACTCCACAGATACGTATGTCTTTAAGTCTTTCAACAAATTGTTGATTATTATATGCGAAATTGCAGCCTATATATAGTACTATAGTGTACATGTTTTTCAGATGCTAGCATGGCATTTGATTGCGGAAGTCATTTTACGCTAAATGATGAGCTTGATATTAAGCGCCAGTGCAGATCTACTTTGTATAAGAGGGAATTCCTTGTCAAGAGAATCACGCCCCAGCGCCTTTTCTAATGCTCACCCGCCCATCAGTCATTTTCTCAACGCCTGTCGTCGATGAGGCCAAAAAAACACAGGGAATTGTCTCTTATAAAAGAATTATACAAGTAAAACTGTATTATTATTATTTATGGGTATGCACCAAATTGCACAATTTAAAACTGAAAAATGAAAAAGTTTTCTATTGTGGGAGGGCCACAACCACCACTCGCCCCCCCCCCCACCTCCCACTCCACGGTTTGCTTCCTCAATTGATTGTTCTCACACTCAGCTA